CCACAAGAAGCCCTCGTACGAGCCCAGGAAGCCACTACAGATTACGCCAGAGGAGGCTCACATCATGTGGGGTCACGCAGGCCGACAGGCGATCGATCGACTGCCGGATAGCGTAGACGGGCTGCAGCTGGTAGACGGCAACCCAGCACTAAAGTGGAAGGACTGTGAAATCTGTATACAGTCGAAATTGACGAAACTGGTCAGCCGGAGGCCACCGCGCGAGCCAGCTACCCGACCGTTCGAGCGCATCAGTATTGATCTAGTGCAGCTACTAGAGCGAGGCGAGCATTGCTATAACGGCGACCAATACCTATTCCACATGATTGACCAGGACACGAAGTGGCATGAAGGAAGCTGTATGCCAGACAAGACAAAATCTACTCTCACACGAGTCTTCAAGCGCTTGCTAGCCAAGATTGAGCGGCAGTTTGATCGCCAGGTTATCATCGTGAGGCTGGACATGGAGACTGGATACGTTGAGCTGCTTGAGATATGCAGAGACCTTGGAATTGCGATTGAGCTGAGAGCGACAGAAGCTCAGAATGGAGCGATTGAGCGCGCAGGGAAGGCGATTGTGATTTGAGGCAGAGCTATCTAACTGCACGCTGGTCTACCCAAGGAGTACGCCAACGAGTGTGTCATGTTAGCAATATACCTACTCAATTGTACGCCAGTCGAAGCGATCGGCTGGAGCTGCCTATACACTAAAGTCAAGGGGATTAAGCCATTAGTTGCTCACCTTGAGGTGATTAGAGCGAGAGCCTATGTGCTTAATGAGAAGCTGCTACGCGGAGCCAAGCTCGAATCTCGAGCTCTTATTGGCCACCTGGTAGGCTTCGACTCTACCAATATCTTCTAAGTGTGGTTGCCATCCATTGGACGAGTGATACGAACCTGAGATGTTGTCTTCATTCGAGGCAAGCTCTGTGACGGCAAAGGCCAGTACGCAGAGAAGAGCTACGTTCGAGAGGCAGCAGAAGTGCTCGATATCGAGGAGGCGCTCGATTACAGCAATATATTGACAGAACAGCTGTTCTCTCGTGAGAACAAGGACAACGCTGAGGGTATCGGAGATACGGTTCATGTTCAACTACCGAATTATCAGCAGAGCCGTACTCAGCAGAAGAACACCACAGCGCTCATGACTCCAGAAGCGACACCAGATTCGCCCGAGCCGATCGAGCTCACAGGCGAGTCGCTCACTGATCAGGCGATGGATGATACTGGCTGGGGACGCGGATATGCTCTAGCTCGAGAAGGAGAAGAGCCAGACCGAACGTCCAACAACGCTGCACGACGAGGAGAGATTAGCAGCCAGGTATCAGAGCAGTTTATTATGAAGGGCAAGCGAATTCGCAAGCCAGCGACGTTTGGAACCTATCTAGCGACATTTGCAGCCTGTATCAACCCTACAGCAGCAGGAAAGCTACTCAGCGAAGCGCCGAAAACCCGACTCCATCGTGACCAGCTGCCGGCTGAGCTAAAGAGATGGAAGGACCTAGATCAGCATCTATTTGGAGCTGAATTCAAGAAGGCAAGCTGCAAAGAGATTGATTGCTTTATCTAGAGGAGCTGTTTTGGACAAGCAGTGAGAGCGTCTGATTTAATAGACGCTGAGATACTGCCATTGATGTGGGTATTCACGTACAAATTTGACGAGGATGGATATCTCTACAAGTTCAAGGCGAGACTGGTAGTGAGGGGAGACCTGCAGCAGGATTACGGCGATACGTACGCGGCGACGCTGGCTGCGAAGATATTCCGATGTTTGATCGCCCTGGCAGCTGCTTTTGACCTTGAGCTGTACCAGTACGACGTCCTGAACGCCTTTCTCAACGCAGAACTTGACCGGCCTACCTACGTACGATGTCCAGAAGGATATGAGAGCGAGCTTGGCCAACTGCTTGAGCTTGAACGAGCTCTATACGGACTTCGAGATGCTCCGCTACTATGGTACAAGCACCTCACTGCTACGCTTGAGAAGCTAGGCCTTCAGCAGGTGCCAGGAGTGCCCTGTCTGTTCAGCAATAATTACTTAATTGTCTTCTTCTTTGTAGACGATATAGTCATAGCTGTAGCTTCTAAGAACAAGGACACCTACCGCCAATTTGATCAACAGCTGCGAGCTGCATACGACATGCGATTTCTGGGAGAGCTGAAATGGTTCCTTGGCATACGCGTGATCCGAGATCGCAGCCAGAAGAAGATCTAGCTAATGCAAGACAGCTTTATTAAAAAGGTAGCAGCTAAATACAATATTGCTTAAGAGAGCACAAAATATCCAGCAGTACCGCTAGTAGATAGAAATATCGGCCTAAGCAAGGAGGAGCCGGACGAACAGCGCACAAAGCTATATCAGGAGTTAGTTGGATCACTAGCCTACATCGCGACATACACTTGGCCTGATGTTGCGCAAGCCCACTCTAAATTATCTTGATATCTACAGAATCTAGGTTAAAAGCATGTCAGCGCAGCGTACCACGTCTGGAAGTACTTGATCGGCCAGAAGCATTTGGCGATCAGTGCACATGGAGATCAGAGCAGTCGCACGATATACACAGGCTCAAGCCTGGGGGGTGCTGGAACAGAGCCACTATTCTACGGTGCCTCTGATGCAGCCTTTGCGGACGACCTGCCGACGCGGCGCAGCTCTCAGGGATATCTTTTCATGATGTACGGTATGCCTATCGACTGGAAGGCGACACTCCAACGTTCCGTCACGAAATCGACCACCGAGGCAGAGCTGCTAGCTCTGTCGACAGCAGCCAGCGAGCTGCAGGCATGGAATCGACTGTTCAAGCACATCAAGCTCGACCTAGAGATGGTGCCAACAATCTTCTGCGACAACCTGCAGACAGTAGGAGTTGTTACTAAGCACAAGGACAAGCTATTCACGCGTTTGCGTCATGTGGACGTCCACCAACATTGGCTCAGGCAGGAGGTGGCAGCTAGACGCATATCAGTTTAGTGGAAGCCAACTAACCTTATGCCAGCTGATAGACTCACCAAGATCCTTGTACGCTAGAAGCATGCTGAATTTATCCAACAGCTTAGATTAAAAGACGTTGAGAACCACCTACTAGAGCCTAAAGGACATAATAACCCTAATTCAGCGAGCTTAACTCACTAGTATTAGGATAGTATTGGGCATGGTTATAGGGCAACGATCATAGATATAATATAGAACAGGAATAAGGGAGATTAGCTTTGGTTGGCACCTTAGCTAAGGGGGTGTGTAACCACGTGGGTGAAGTCACATGATATCTTGTTGTAGAAGGTACCGCCCAGTGGGCAAGTGCACTTACCTCAGAGCTGAGAGCTCCGTACACAATCAACACAACACGACAACAGATAGCAATACAATTGTTGATCCCAGCCTCCACCCGACACTGCACCAGGCAGTTACAGTTATCAACAAAGTTTAACATTGCTAATAAAGCCATCAACGATAAGAGCAATGTTGCAGTAGCTAGTATTAGACCTTGATACGATTATAGAGGGAAGGTTGCAGAACACTAACACCCAATTACAGGCCTGTGTGCTTGCGCGCAAGAGATAGTGAGGCTCCGGAGTGCAAACCTGTCCTGGTAACGTACACTGTGCGTCCCAGCTCACTTGGATTGACAACTGAAAATTTTCCATCTGATCCTGACAGTGCCACAGACGTCGCCAGCACAGATGCCACCCCAACCTATCCATCTCGCTATCCAGCCGCCAGAAGAGGTTGCTGCTCGCCCTCCGCGGGGTCTGGCGCTGCATCTGCCTTGGAACCCGATGCCTGCGCCATCCCATACCACGCAATCGCGGCGATCATCAGCAGCGCATTCAGCGCACTAAGCAACAGCGCGGCAGCCCCCCTGAGCGTGAAGCCCCCAGGTAATGGGGCCGGCGGTTCTGGTTCGCCGCTCAAGTCAAGGAAATCAGCACGATTCCCCGCCGCGTTTCCCGCCGTCGGCACGGCCGGGTGGTTGCGCGTGCACAGCTCAAAGTGCTCTTGGGGCACGGAGGCGGATGCCTGGATCGCGAGCGGCGCCTCGATGAACGTCGCGATCAGCCCTGACGCTACATGCCACTCGATGTGACAGTGAAAGACCCAGACGCCCGGGTTGTCGCTGCGGAAGCGCAGGACGGCGTGACCATTGGGTTGGACGAGGATGGTGTCACGGCGCATAGGCGCGGAGAGTTTCAGGGCTGGGCTGGGTCGGTAGCGGCCGCTGTCTTCGGGGGAGCGGGTGATGACTTGGAAGGCGTGGCCGTGCAGGTGGAACGGGTGTTTCTGTGGGGTGAGCTTGGGGTCATTGTGAAATTTGGGGAGGGTGACGTACGCCATCATCGTTGTTATTTACGATTATTTCGATGGTTTCGTTACCGTGCAGCACGATGGAGTTGGTGTGGCTGCCGTAGATGATGGGATTGGTGGCGTGTTCGCCGGAGGTGAGAACGGTGTATAAAGCTGGGACCCAGGGCTCGACGTAGGTACTGTTGTTGAAGAAGGCACTGAGCGGGTGGGTTAATATGATGATCACTGACCGGGGGCAGGTACTTACTAGTTCGCACCATCGCCCAGATTATCCATCGTAATATCTAGCGTGACGGTCCTATCCACTATGTCAAGCGAAGCCATTCTATCAAGTGGCTTGAGTGTGAAGTCGTCCATGGGATCGAAAGCAATAACTTCCGACGGTCGTGGCAAGGCCTGTTTGCTGTCCACTACAAGCCATCCAGTCACTTTTGAGTTCAAATCCTCCGGAATCGCGTCGAACAGTTCCTGCACAAGCGTCAGATGGAGTCATATTCCAAGAAGTGCTGACATACTTCATCCATGCTAGCAACGAAAGGAATGTTGGTGACACTGTCGCTGTCGACAGTGAGGAGCACAGCGTAACGCTGCCCCGCTGTAAAGTACAGCATGCTCGCTTCAGCCGGCTCCGTGTAGATGCCGTCGACCTCGATAATTCTCATCGAGCAGCCCTGGAACCACACATACATGCCAGCAAATGCAGCCATGTTCACCTGCTCACATGAACTTGAGCCTCTCCTTTCTCATGGTGAGTACTTACCATGCGGATCATATATGTCTTCCCTGACTGAACAAAAACCGTCACATTCTGCGCGTCGTTGATCAGAGCCGACTGCGGCACAGGCTCAGCGCCAGTGGGGTTAGTAACGCTGATGAAGGACTTGAGAAGCGGTCTCATCAGATCATGGTACCAATCCGAGAAGGAGAGCACAATCTCTTCGTCAAAGTCATCTCTGAATGGGTTCTCGGGATCGTGCACGATGAGCGGAGCTCGCAGACCGTCGGGATATTGGCCTCGTGTGTGGGAGTGGAACCAGTACGTTCCTGGTTGATCGATCTACTCCCTGTCAGCATAGCCAAGTATCGTTGGAATCATTGATCTCACTTTGAAGTCATAGACTATGTAGTCATCATGGGGAATCTCGCACTGCGTTATACCCGGCGGACCGTCCATATGCGCCGTCCCATTCTGGTACAAGCCGTGCCAATGCAAGCTCGTTGTCTCATTGCCAAGCTGATTCCTCACTGTGACAATAAGCTGTTCTCCTTTCGTGACATGCAGCGCAGGTATCGGCCATTGGCCGTTTATGCCCATGACAGGTCTGTCTTGTCTGCCATCGGGGTTGCGGTTTACCCACGTGACATTAAACTCGAGGTGTGTGACCTCCGTGCATGCTGCGCTACAAGTGAAGAGCAGCAGCAACCACAGCACGCTGATCATCGCGCTAGATGACGCTGCGCAAAAGGCAAGTAGTGGAAGTAGAAGGAAGATAAATCAGATGAGGCACGCGTGAAAAGCTGGGCGTCATGTCTTGACACGCGCTCACAGAAACAGCAGCGACGTTCGGCTGTGGGGCACAAGCAACGCCCAGAGTTCTAACTTCTGGCAGTCAGATCTGCAGAACAAAGGGTCATTGAGGTCCTTGACTCATGACCATTCGAATGTTCAGCCAGTAAGTTCCACTCTTCGCACAATTGTGTGCTGTGCGGCGGTGCTACATTACGTTTCCCGCTTGTCCCGAGGTGTTATCTGATCCGGCCTGCCCTTTTCCGGCGTGTGCCCCGCTCGAGCTTCAGATTTTCTTCCGCACTAATCTAATCTGATGACCCGAACCCACTTGTCCAGCCTCGCCTCATGATGCAACGCTCTTGTGCGCTCCACTCGAGAGCGATGTAGGCGTCTTTTTGTCTCGTGCACAGGACCGTTCAGTATAACTTCAACCTCATTCTTGGAAGGTTTTTGGCTCGCGCATCCGTCATGGTCCAGATCTTCGCGGCGCAGGGTTCGTCCATTCAATGGCTTGGTAATATGTGGTGCTAATCGTCACAGTATTTTTCATCTGCCTGCGCGAGAGTTTAGAGACCAGCATCATCGTCTCTGTCCTCCTCTCATTTCTTAAGCAAACCCTTACCTCCGAGGATGAGAAGCCTATCTACCAAAAACTCGTCCGCCAGGTCTGGCTAGGAACCCTTTCTGGCGTCGCCATATGCACCATCCTGGGTGGCACAGTCATCACGCTCTTCCACGTATTCGAGTCTGATGTCTTCTCCCAGTATGAATATATCTGGGAAGGCGTCTTCGGCCTGATCGCCTGCTGGATCATCACCATCATGGGCGCTGCCCTACTTCGGATCTCGAAGATGCGCGATAAGTGGCGCGTTAAGATCGCTGCTGCTCTTGAGGCCAACAATGATGCTTCGGGATCTAATGAGCTCCAGGTACGGGCGGAAAAGTATGCTATGTTCTTGCTCCCTCTTGTTACGGTGCTGCGCGAGGGGTTCGAGGGTGTGGTCTTCATCATTGGTGCTGGGCTGGGGCTGCCGGCTAGCTCTTTCCCGCTAGCTGTGATCGGAGGCTTCGGTGTTGGTGCATTTATTGGATACTTGCTTTACAGGTGAAAGTCCTCTTTCGACACAAGATTATCCTGCAGCTAACCCAGAACAGAGGGGGTAACAAGGGCTCTCTGCAGGCCTTTTTGGTCGCGTCGACTTGCTTTCTGTATCTGATAGCTGCTGGTCTGCTGAGTAGGTCTGTATGGTTCTTTGAGAACTATCTGGTAAGTTCTTTGATGATGTATACCGTAGTGATCTAGGCTCACCTAATATAGTGGAATGCCGCCATTGGAGGCGATGCGGCGGAGACAGGCGTGGGACCTGGATCCTACGACATCCGTCAAAGTGTTTGGCATGTAAACGTAAGTTGCGCATCCATGGACCTCTTCTGGGTGGGAACCGCTAACAGATATTGCGACAACAGTGCTGCAGTCCCGAAATCGACGGAGGCGGTTGGTGGGGAGTTTTCAACTCGATCTTCGGGTGGCAGAACTCTGCTACCTACGGCAGTGTCATTTCTTACAACTTATACTGCGTCGCGGTTGCAGCTGCATTTTTCGTCATGCAGTTCCGCGAGAAGCATGGCAGCTGGGCTCAATACAAGGACAAAGCCTACGCCCGAACAGTCACGTAGACGATGGAGCTACGCTTCTCGTAGGCAGCTAGGCAAAGGGGAACAATTGCAACGCAAGAGACATCTCTAATATTCGTCAAGGAAAACGGTTCGATCGTGTTATTGGTAATTTATGCTTCAATACAGCAGATGATGTATGTGAAGGAGTTCAGCACGTGAACTCGCGTATAATGACGCGCAGGTGGGGTCTGGCCATAGCTCTTTCCAAAGTCGACGTCATCACTCAATCACGACTTCATTCACGATAGCCACTCCACAAATGTCCACACGATCTCTTCAAACGCTCAGAAAACAATCAATTACTGTCTACACAAGACCCCATTGCTACTCCGCCCGCCGTGCCTTGTCCACATCAATCCGCTACCACGCCGCATACAACATGCCGCAAGCACCTCAGATAAAGAAGATCGACGCCCTTCCCGCCGACGAAGCCAAATGGGTAGAGTTCCAGAAAATTACATGGCAAGATCAGACAGGCAAGGAGCGCGTGTGGGAGGCCGCGAATCGCAAAACACGCGGCAAGGCAGGCGTTGACGCCGTGGCCATCACAACAGTGATCCGGCACCCGAAGCGCAAGCCCAGCACAATAATCATCTTGCAGTACCGTCCGCCTGTTGATGCCGTTTGTGTTGAGCTACCGGCCGGGTTGGTGGATGAGAAAGAGACGCCCAGCGACGCATCATTGCGCGAGCTGCACGAGGAAACGGGATACAAGGGCAAACTGACGTTCATCTCGCCGACGATTGTGAGCGATCCGGGACTGAGCAGTGCGAACATGCAATTAGCTACTGTGGAAGTGAATCTCAAGGAGGGCGATACCGAGCCGGAGCAGGCGTTGGATGATGGCGAGTTTATCGAGAGGGTCGTTGTGCCGCTTGATGAGCTGTACGAGAGGCTTGTGCAGTATGGTAAGGAGGGGAAGACGGTGGATGCGAGGTTGTGGCATTGGGCGGCGGGAATGCATTTTGCAAAGACCATGCTGTGAAGCGTTTTTGACTACGCCCGAACCAGACATTCAGGTGATCCACTAGACGCGTGTTATTACATCTGGCATGTACGCATTTGCGACCATGAACTTTCATGACAGCTAATGAAAGACACCGAAGACTTATCGAAATTCACACTTGAATTGCCAAAAGTCTATACTATCCGTGCATCAATCGCCGTGCGTGTCAAGCAGTCCTATCGCCGCCCACACCTTCTTTCGCCAGGCAGTGTTGATATCTTCCTTCACTCTAGCAAAGAGTCGTCATCACCCGCCCATTATGTGTGCAGACAGGCTGGATAGGCCAGTCGCACCTATGGACCTCGTCCTTGCCATACTGACCAGGAGCACAGTGAACAGCCGTGCAGCCCACTGAGAAGACAAACAAATTCCGGTCAACGTCCTAGAACGGCGCACCGTCTTCGGTAGACAGGTTGTACCAGATCCTGTTGTTGCGGCGGTCGACCGAGTACTCGACCTGGTAGACGCGCGTATCGCCGATGTTGCGGGAGATCTTGACTGAAATACAGTCGGCATAGACGGGGAGGGCTTGAAGGAAGACTCACGAGATGTGCCACGCTCATCCCAGTAGGTAGGGCTTGGGGAGGTGAATGTCTAGCCCGGTTTGACAAACGGGTCGCTGGTCTCACCGAAGCCGGCGCACTTCTCGCCAGTGACTCCGGAGCGCTCGGCGACGCCTTGACGGACGTATACAGGGAAGGGACAATTATTGGTCACCTGGCCGTTGATGTCGCCTTCACCAGGGAGCATACCGCCGACATCGATGAATGCAAAGCTCGAGGAGGGCAAGTTCTGCGAGAAGAAGTCGCTGGTGGCGTTCTTGGAGGTAGCAGGTGCTGGTGAGGCGAAAATCGCCTTGAAAAAGATGGTTGCGATTGCTGCGGTTCATTAGTGACAGTCATCGCATGCACTCTGCACAACTTAAAAGCCAGGATGGACTTGAAATTCATCAGTGTGTGTGCGTGGTGGTGTCGAGGAGTGAGCGAAAGAATAGTGCATATAGGCGCACTGTGATCTGGTTGACAGTTGTCGAGTCGAGTGGATGGAAGAAGAGACAGGTGTCCCCCATCGGTAGCTTTTATGTAAAGCGAATCATTGTCGAAGTGGATCACGGGACCCACAAAGCAGTTGTTGCGTAGTAGAGGTATCTCAAATTTCCTCAATGCTGAGCAGTGTCATGTGGATGGGCACCGCAAGCGAACGGGCAGCGACACTATTTTGAGAGAGAAGCAAATAACTGTTAGCAATCAAATCCGTTGAAACACACTGAGAACCTCACCCCGGCGGATTTGAAGGTGAGTTATCGAAGACTTGAACGGCCAAGTTCTTAATCATGTCCTCCCGTCCACACACCACGTCGTTATCAGCCACAAGGGGCTACAGAAAGTTGTCTATATGTGACCCGAAGCCGACATTACACTGGAGACATTTCTCAGCGCTATCCAGACAACTTTGTGTCCTCGATTATACCACGACACGCCTCGAAGCTATCGTGAAAGACAGCTCTCAGGTCATCATTAATGTGGCGGCAGACGTAGCCGCTATATTTATCGATGGAAAACTGCGCTGAGTTGCTTGCTAGCTAGGAGGCGACCATATGTACATGTCCTGAGACGTGCTAGTCCAAGGTAGTCAACAGAGGTGACGAGCAAGGCTATAGGACCGACTTGCACCGCAACAATTGAGTTGCCCGCCCAAGGCACTCGCCCAGCGTTGGTCAATCGCGTCGTCCAACATTCTCTTGATTTCTTGCTCCGCTTCAACGGACCAAAGCAGGAGACGAACTTCGTTGCGAAACATGCCACTGTGGGCTTTGATCTGTTCTGAGATCGTCTTGATTTCTTTTCAGACAGAGGCGCAGCGTGCGCGCTTTCTTTGACACAATTTTGGAAGACTTCACGACAATAAGGGTGGGAAAAACACCAAATGCGAGTTCCGCGACCTCGAGACCAGGTATGAATCGGCACCTGATCCCACGATTACAAAGTTGATATGCTGAAAGTCTCACGCATGACAAATAGCATTTTGTATTCAATACAAGCAATCTGATAACGTAGCCATTTGGTCCAATGCAGCAAATATTTTTCACCCCAGCGCCTCGAGAGAGTTGAATCTTCGGGGTCGACGTCGATACACCAGTTGATGGCCCTTCCAATCCCCCGTCCCACCTCCAGCCCCCCAGTCTCCAATCTCAAACCTTCTCCCGGCCGGACTCCTGCGACATCGCAGTCTCAGTCGTATAATAGCGCCCAAACACGCGGTCCTCCACCTCCAGATCCTGAGCATCAACGCCCGTCTCCCCCCTCGCCCGGCGGCGGAAGTAAACGCGCTTAGCCCACTTCCAGCTCTCGACGCCCGCAAAGAACAAGCCCGCCTCGACAAACACAATGCCCCACTCCCAGTCAATAGGCGCGTGCTTGAACACCACCGTGTTGACGACGGGAATGTAGATGAGCGGGAACAAGGTCGCGAAGCCAGCCACAATCGCCCAGAAGAGGAACTGATTCCGCCACACGTCGAGCATCCACTGCGTCAGGTAGCGCGGCGAGCCGGGCTGCATGCGGAAGAACGAGCGGCGCATGTCGACCATCTCCCACGCCAGGAACAGCGCGAACCACGTCAGACACGCGAACGTGGTCGCGCGCGCCCGGAACACCAGCTCGCACGACGGATTGTAGCCCTCGTTGCACCCGCTACCCAGATTGCCGTCGCCGAACCCGAACACGACGAGCGTGAAGCTCGCCAGGCACAGCGCCGTAATCCACAGCCCGTATACCACCATGTCGGCCAGGAATTCCATGGTGAAGATGCCCGTCTTCAGCGACTGCGGGGGCCGGTGCAGAATGTCCGGCACCGCGCGCTCGAACCCCAGCCCCATGTCCGGCATCCCGGATGTCGCCATGATGATCCATACGACCTGGACGGGCGCGAGGGGGAACACGGAGAGCCCCGTGCTGTCCTTGAACGCGAGGCCGACGAGCAGGGTGCCGGCCTGCGCAACGTTCTCAGCCAGCACGTGCAGCACGAATTTCTGGATGTTGTCAAAGATGCGCCGGCCTTCTTCGATGGCGGCCAGGATCGAGGCGAAGTTGTCGTCGGTGAGGACAATGTCTGATGCTTCCTGTGACCTGTCAGTGATTGATGGAGAGTGGGTTCATGAGTAGGACGTACCTTGGCGACGTCAGATCCAGCTTGGCCCATGGCGATGCCGACGTCGGCTCGCTTGAGGGACGGCGAGTCGTTGACGCCGTCGCCGGTCATGGCGCAGAAGCGGCCGCGACGGTGCAGCGCCTCGATCATACGGACCTTGGTCGAGGGCGCGCAGCGGGCGACGACCAGCGGCAGGACGGGCAAGTCGTCCACCTGGTCGTCGCTGAGGCTGTCGAAGTCCGAAGCCGTCATCACCAGAACTTTGGCGACGTCGGCTGAGATGCGCTTCATGCGGTCTGCAGAGGGGAGGATGCCGACTTCGATCGCGATCGCCTTGGCCGTCTCGGGGTGGTCGCCCGTCAGCATGTGCACCTCGATGCCAGCCTCGTGGCACTGGCGCACGGCGGGAGCGGACTCGGGGCGAGGCGGATCGTACAGGCCGATGAGGCCGCGGAAGACGAGGTCGCTCTCGACAGAGGCACGCTGCACCTCTGCGCCCTTCTCGACCGGGCCCTCGCAGGCCTTGCTGGCTAGTGCTAGCACGCGCAGTCCGAGACTGGCCAGCGCTTCCATGTTGCGGAGGACCTCCTCACGGAACTCGTCGGTGATGCTGCCGTACTCGTCGGCACTCGTGGCGACGGATGTGCAGCTCTGGATCACGCGCTCGACGGCGCCTTTGGTGAATGCGTGCGCTTTGCCGTCCGAGGCGCGCATGATGACCGACATGCGCTTGACGTCCGAATCGAAGGGGAGCTCTACGAGATCTTCCCAGGTAGCCGTGTCGCCCTTTGTCATGCGGGAGCGATCCAGACCGAAACGTGCGGCGAACACTTGGATGGCAATCTCGGTCGGGTCGCCGTGGGCTTCCCAGGTGCCGTCGTCCTTTTTCTTGACAGCGGCCAGGTTGGCCAGCGAAGCGACGTTGAGGAACTCCTCGAGGCCCTTGGATGCGGACGGGTGGAGCCTCTCGGCGCCCACGAGCTCGCCGCACTTTTCGCCGCCCGTCTTGAGGTCCATCTTGCCTGGCGAGTCGGGGTGGAAGCGGACATGGCCGATCGTGGGGTCCTGCGGTGCCGTCGAGTTCTCGATCGTGTACGTTCCAACGGCAGGCAGCCAGGCGCCGCGGGCAATCATCTTGCCCTGTGTCAGCGTTCCGGTTTTGTCAGAACAGATGTCCGTCACGCCCCCGAGGGCTTCCAGCGACTTGAGGTTCCGGACGACTACATTGCGCTTGACCATGCTCTTGGTTCCAGCAGCCATGGTGATGGTGAGGACGACGACCAGACTGGCGGGGATCATAGATAAACCAGTGGCGACCGCGTAGATGATGACTTCCTGTGTTGCGTTGAAGCTGTTTGCTGCAAGGACAATGATGGCGCAGAGCACGGCAATGCCGAACAACAGCATCGCCAGCTTAGACAGCTTCTTCTGCAACGGCGTTCCGACATTGAGACCCAGGAATCTTCCAATGGCGTCGGTCGTCGTGAGGGTGTAGGCCTCGAGGTAGCGATGCGGTTTGGCACGACCGTCCGGGCCGCGGTTCTTGACCGGTCGCACCTTGGACTCTGATTCTCGCAGCTGGGAAGCAATGGCGCCAATCTCGGTGTAGACACCCGTGGCGAAGACGACGCCCTTTGCACGTCCCTTTGTGACGTTGGAAGAGCTGTACGCAACGTTGAGACGGTCTCCAGGGCCTGTCTTCTCTCCAAAAGTCGCCTCTTCGTTCTTGCGCACAGGCAACGACTCCCCTGTGAGCAGCGCCTCGTCTGTCTCGAAGTTGACCGCTTCGAACACCCTGATATCCGCGGGCAGAGTATCACCGGTCTTGATCTCGATGACGTCGCCGGGAACGATCTCGGCGGAGGGAATGGTCGACTGCTGTCCTCCACGGATGACGCGCGCGGTCGGAGAGCTCAGCGAGCGCAGCGAATCCATTGTTTTCTCCGCGGACCACTCCTGGAAGAAGCCCACCACGATGTTCAGCAGAATGACAAATGTAACCACTCCGCCTTCGATCCAGGACTGGATGCCGAAACTGACAGCCATGGCCAGGATCAACACCATGGTCATCGCGTTTGCAACCTGAGCAATCAGGATCTTGATTGGAGATACTCCGGCCGTCTCTCCCAGATCGTTGGCGCCATATTCCTCAAGGCGACGTTTGGCCTCGGCATCATCGAGTCCGGACCAGGTATCGGTGCTCAATTCGTCCACAACCTGGGCGAGCGTAAGACTGTGAGGGGGCAGGCTGAGAGGTTTGTTCGCCTGCCCACTGACATGCGTCTCGTCGGGCGATTTGGCTTCGTCGCCCATGGTGTTTGCTGTTGCGTGTTTGCCCGATAGATGTGCGTTCGATCTTCTTTCTTATGTGATTCTTCTTCTTCTTATTCTCGTCCCAGTGTGGACGAATTGAGCAGTGTTGTTGATTGTGAATTCCATAGAGTACTTCAGCACGGGTTCTGGGACAGACTCCTCCGTGTTTACGCCGTGATTGGCGACGAGTGGGTTAGCGGTGGTGTAGTGACGGTCAGTGGTCACGGTGCAAAGAGCTGGTGGGAGCCGTATAGTTTGAAGCAATTCGGGGTTCGAAGTGGGAAGCTGCGGGAACTGCAGAGGAATTTGGGCAATCGTCAAAATACAATATATGCTCGCCTCGCAACTTTGAACATGCACGTGGGCGGTGGACACGGGTTCTCGGCGTCTTGCCAAGCCAAACTGCAAGCTTTTGTAAGCGTCGTCGAGTTGGTGAGCATTCGTGATCTTGGCCTTCCAGATGGTAGACTCGGCGTCCGTTGGGTGGAACTGGGCCTGTAGCTACCGTGCAACCACAAAGGTTTGGCTTCAACCGCTCACAGCTGGTCATGACACTAGTGCTGAAGTGGTTATCCATCCCACCCCGGATTTGAACCAGTCTTCTGCCTTGGTCAGTCGCATGCGTGAAGTTGTTCGACTCGGCACGCCAAGACGCCAAGTACAATGTGCCGATCTCCTTCATGAACTGGTCTGCAAAGCGTACAAAGACGCCCGATACGTCCTGCAAAAAGGGTGCAGCCGTTCGAGGCCGCTCTACCACTAAGAGCGCCGCAGTGACCTCCTCTCTCAAGCTCACATTGCGCAGACAAGCTTGTGGCCTACGCCATAACACCAGCCGTTGATGCGGTAGAGTGAGAGTAGGCGTCACTGGGGCAGCGTGGCGACTTTGCTCAACGATGGCTACGTGATGTGAGAGCTCCGATGCTTTGAGAAGCAAGGCATGCGAGGTTGCACGGTCTCGTGTTTGGATGTTCGTACCTACTTGGATGATGGGACGCGGCTGTTGGTGTGAGAGGTAGTGCATCTCTCAAGGTCGATAGACGCGAGCTCTGACCGATGTGTCGACATTCCATGTTTGCGTCCAGCGTTGTTACGAGCGTTGTTACGTCTGTAGTGTCGGACAGAACCGCACAGCACCACAAGTACGCAACAAAAGCAACATTAGGGGGAGAATGAGCGTGCGATAAAAAGCGCGGACGCGGTGAGCTCGAGGGAAGTGCACGCTGACGCGTCCCCCACGCGTCCAGCAACAAATAACAAACAAATACCAGGCTAGGTAGGTAGACGAGCGCTGCATAATCTGCAATGTATACATCTATGCTTGTGCACATTCCCCCTCCTATGCTCTCTTTTCTTCCCCCTCCTATGCTCTCTTCTCTTCCCCCTCCATGCAGAAAACACACCGAATCTAAACGCCACAAATGCAAGACACCCAAACCCGCTAGCAGCCCCCAATTCGCAACAAAAGAAACAGAGCACAGAGAAGCTCATGCATACCGCACGCTATCCCTCTGCCTCAACGGCGGCGGCTGTGGAATGCCAGCCTGGCCCTGCCACGCATACGGCGGCGGCGCGCCCTGATTCCCGCTCATGGCGCTCATCTGCGGCGGCGGCGGCGGCGGAGGCGGGGGGCGTCTCCTGCCCCCGCGCCCACCATTGTTGGGCTGGGGACCGCGGCCGTACGCCGCAGCCTGGGCGGCGTATTTGGCCCTTGACCGGCGACGGCGGTACGAGCGCCAGCAGCAGCACAGGATGCAGAGGAGCAGCGCGCCGCCGAGACCGGCGGCGAGGCCGATGACGAGGGTCAGGTGTTGGTCGATCCAGGATTTGATCTCGTTGCCCACGTTGCCGTCGCAGCGGCCCTGAGATTGTTAGCACGAGACGCAGAAAAGAGGTAGGATGTAATGACTCACGTTGACGCAATGCCCGCCGGCGCAGACGGTGCCGTCGAGAAAGTTCTGCTGCAGGCCGTAGCACACGCCGCGGCCGAACTCGGGCGAGCCGCACGAGAGGGTGCAGCTGCGCGTGTCGCACGCGTACGTCTCGTTGCCCTGCGTGTAGCTGCCCATGAGCGTCTTGCACTGCTGGTCGCGCGAGGTGCACTGGCCGCTCGCGCACTGCAGGCCGTTGCCACAGCTCTTGCCCGACTCCTCCCACTTGTCCTCGGGACAGTACGGGGAGGTGCCGTTGCACGTCTCCGCGGGATCGCAGGAGCCCTGGGAGGCGCGGCAGACGGTGGTGGCCGAGGCGAACTGGCAGTTGTTGCAGCAGTCCTCGTTGCTGTCGTCGCAGACGGCGTTGTTCTTGAATTTGCAGGTCGACGCGTTGCAGCAGTTGTTGGAGCCGCACTGCGTGGTGCCGCCGCAGTCGCAGTCCTCGCCCTCCTCGACGATGCCGTTGCCGCACACGGGCTCGCCAATGGTGGTGATGCCGCGGTTGTTGGTCAGGCACGACGACTCGACCGAGTTGCGCTGCAGGGCGGAGCAGACGTTGCCAATGGAGCACGGCGAGAAGCGGGTGATGCCCTGGGCGGTCGACGGGTTCATGATGTACTGCTCGCCGGCGTTGCAGGTGGAGCTGCTGAGCGGACAGCACTGCTGCGAGTTGACCGTGTTGGAGTCGGCGCAGGCCGCGGCGGTGCAGTCGTGGACCGCGCCGTACGTGTGGCCGGTTTCGTGGGCAATGACCTGCCACTCGGTCGACGTGCGCACCACGACGTTGGCGCCGGCGACCGTCTCGGTCGTGCTGCCGCTGTTCTGCTGCGAGCCCTGCACGCAGGCCTGTCCGAGCCAGGCCAGGCCGACGGCAGAGCCCGTGTTGCACGTCGACAGCAGCGTCCAGTGCGAGTAGTTGTCGGCCTGCTGGCCGCGCCACGAGGAGAAGAGGTTCAGACGGGCCTGGATGTCGACGCCGTCGCTGCAGCCCTGGTTCCAGGGCGTCGAGGCCTGCGCCGTCGCGGGGCAGTCCGGGTCGGTGATGACGACGTTGGCGAGCCCCAGCGAGATCTGAAAGGTGCTCTCGAACAGCGCCGACGCCGAGTTGAGCTGCTCGATGATGTTCTGCTGCGTCTGGTTGCGGTCGCGGTTGAACGACTGGATGTACGTGCAGTCGGCCGCGACCCCGACCAACGCCACCTTGCGCGTCGTCGGACAGCCCTGCGTGCTGCCAATCGTGCTGACCAGGTTGACGCCCGCGCCGCCGCTGCCGGGCTGCCCGTCAATCTGGCGGCCAAACAGGCGCTCGAGCGGCATCGACGCCCGGCTCGTCATGTCGCGGGCGCGCATGCCCGCGTACACGGGGTGGTCGGCCTGCGAGTTGAACCCAAGCGCGTCGCTGCCGCACGCCTGGCCGTGCACGCCCGCCCGCCTCCGCAGCTCGGCATGGTCCTCGTGCGGCGCCATGCCCATGTCGCTGTCGCGGAACACGACCATGCGCTCCTCGCCGGCGGCGTCTGCGTCTGCGTCCACGTCGGGGTCCTCGGCCAGCCGCGTCGCCCGGTAGCTGCTCGCCAGCTTGATGTGGTGGTGGTCGTCGTTCAGCGTAAAGGTGCCCTCGAACAGCGGCGCCACCCCGTCGCGCCGCATCCCGACGCGCGCCCACCCGACATTGTCCCAGCGACTGCCGCGCTTCGCCCACGCCGTCCCCTTGAAGACCTTGTGCTGGTGGCGGTCAATGGGCGCCTGCTGCTGCACGCTGCCGTCGGCGGCGAGGTGCGTGACGCGGCCGCCGTCGACAAACAAGTCGTGGTTGGGCTCGAGGCTGAGGCGAATGCGCTGGGGGCCGACGTCAAAGGCCACGTCAAAGGTGCTGACGGCCGTGACGCGGTGGTTCGGCGTCAGGATGTCTGCATTCTGGGCGTACTGGATGGAGCGCAGCGGGGCGCGGTGTGAGCTCGATGCCAATGCGATGTGCGGGGTGGCGAGGGCGAGGAGCGAGGCGAGCGAGGCGAGGAGGTGCATCCTCTGCGGAATCAGTCCTCTGCAGAATCCGTCCTCTGCGTGAGGCTGTGGCGCGGGCCGGTCGAGTGTCCAAGGGGCTGGGATCACGCCAAATGCAGTACTCTAGATCAAACAACAACCGCGGTACTATCTCAAAAAGCCAGAGTGAACGACATGGGCGGGGTATAAACAAGAAGAGAAGAGCAAACTAGGCAAAGAGAGGATGCGCGAGCGGCTGCTTGTCGTCAGCGTGCGAAGGGGCGGTGCAGCAGTGCAGCACTTGGCACGCATCAATGGCGGGCTACGACACTAAGAGTTTCGGCCGTGAAGCGCCTTGTCATCAACGGGGGCAATTTTGCATACGAGCAGCGAGTCTCTCCAACGACCTGGCGCGCGGAACTCGGCATGCAGATGGGAGGCGCTTGTTGTTGTGCACAGGCGTCTGTTCAATAGTAATGGACAAGTCATCATTCAACAGCCGTATCTGCGTCGACACGGTAGCTAACCGCAGCACTGTTGCATTGCCGCGCCGTCTCCCCTGCTCACATCCGCAGCGCTCACACCAGCCTCTCTGGTCCCGCCGAGGTATCCCTCCCGTCCAATCACGCACGTCCACGCCAAGCCTCTATTTCTTCTTGGATTGCTGAACGATTTCGATGATCTTCTCAACTACCGACGGATCCGAAAGCTGTGCCGAAAGCCGTTAGCCGGTGCCCGCTACCCGCGCGAACGCGTCATCAACACCAACTCGCGTCTTGGAGGAATCCATCTCGAACGCAGAGGATTGCAAAACGCAATGGCAAACTCGGGGAAAGGGAAGAAACTCACTGTCGTAATGTCGCCCAGCTGGTCCTCCTCACCCGCCAAGATCTTGCGCATGATGCGCCGCATGATCTTGCCAGACCGTGTCTTGGGCAGATCGGGAACCACGAATATCGCCTTGGGTGCCGCAAAGGGGCCAATCGACTTGCGCACTTGCAGGATCAGGTCCTTCTTGATCTGGTCGCTCGACTCGGTGCCGTCCTTGAGCGCGACGAACGCGTTGACTGCCTGCCCGGTGAGCTCGTCGTGGATGCCGACGACTGCGGCTTCGGCGACAGAGTCTGTGTCTGTCAGCATACGCTTCGGATTATCCAGTGGCATAGTGCGTACGGTGCTCGATGAGGGCAGCCTCAATCTCAGCCGTCGACAGTCGGTGGCCAGAGACGTTCACGACGTCGTCGACACGGCCTCGGATCCAGTAGTAGCCCTCGTGGTCGCGTCCGGCACCATCTCCAGTGAACTATCACAGTCAGCATCTACCTTGCACGTGTCATTGCAGCACCCACGTAGTAGCCCTTGTACACATTCAGATAGGTATCCATGTAGCGCTTGTGTGCGCCCCAGACTGTGCGGGCCATGCTAGGCCACGGCTGCTTAAAGGCCAAGACACCCTCGACATCGTTGCCGTGAATCTCCTCACCCGAGACGGGGTCGATGATCGCAGGCTCGATGCCGAAGAAGGGCAGGGAGGCGGAGCCGGGCTTAGTCGGCGTAACACCGCCGAGCGGTGTGATGACGTGAGAGCCCGTCTCAGTCTGCCAGTAAGTCTGATGTGTGTCAGTGTACCATGCTGTCTCGGAAGCTGAGCATACGTACGTCTACAACGTGGGCCTCCTCCTTTCCGACAACTTCAAAGTACCACTTCCACACCTCGGCGGCGATGGGCTCACCGACCGATCCCAGCACGCGGAGGTTCTTCATCTTGTGCTTGACATGCTCGTCGCCCGCGCGCTTCAGCAGACGCAGCGCAGTGGGCGCAACGTAGAACTGGCTGACGTTGTGCTTGTCGACAATGTCCCAGTAGCGGGAGAAGTTGGGGTAAGCAGGCGTGCCCTCGAAGACAACGGTCGCAACACCAAGCAGCAGAGGCGCGTAGACGACGTACGTGTGGCCAGTGATCCAGCCGACATCGCCACCGCAGAAGAACGTGTCGCCGTCGTGGATATCGAAGACGTACTTTCCAGTCGCGGCCGCGCCGAGCAGATAGCCTCCAGTGGTGTGCATGACACCCTTTGGCTTGCCAGTGGAGCCAGACGTGTAGAGCAGGAAGAGAGGGTCTTCGGAGCTCATCGACTCGGGCGCAATGTAGTTGGGGTACTTGTCGACCTCCTCGTGCCACCACCAGTCGCGGCCCTGGGTCCACGGGATCTCAGCACCAGTGCGCTTGTAGACAAGGCAGTGGCTGATGCCCGGGCACTGCTTGAGGGCCTCGTCGACAATCTTCTTGGTCGCGATGACCTTGCCTCCGCGCTTGCCCTCGTCGGTGGTGATGACAACCTTGCACTCGGCATCGATGATGCGGTCGCGGAGGGAGTCGGACGAGAAGCCAGCGAAGATGACTGAGTGAACAGCACCGATACGCGTGCAGGCCAAGAACGAGATGACCGCCTCGGGAATCATAGGTAAATAAAGAGCAACAGCATCGCCCTTCTTGACACCCATCTCCTTGAGGGTGTACGCGAGCTTGGAGACCTCGCGGAGGAGCTCGCCGTACGTGATGATGCGGCCATCACCCTCATCGTCAGCCTCGTAGATAATAGCGGGCTTATTGGGGTCCTTGAAAGCATGGCGGTCGACGCAGTTGTACGACGCATTCAGCTTGCCCTCGACGAACCAGGCATTGTCACCATTCTCGAAGCTGCCGGCGTGCACCGTCTCAAAGTCGCGTTCCCACGTGAGCAGCTCGCGCGCCAGGCGGCCCCAGAACTTCTTGGGCTCTGTGATGGACTCCTTGTACAGCGTCTGGTACTCCTCGAGGTTCGCCAGGTGTGGCTTGCTGTGGGGGTGCTTGCTGCAGGCTTGCGTTAGCCACTGGTCTACGTCACACAGCTTTTCAAAGCTCGGCGGTGGTGTGAGGCCTAACTCGGCGCGGCGGGGTGACCCCGCTTCGCCGATGAAGCTGATATGATGTCAAGCAACCACACAAAGGCGCACTCACTCGAAGAAAGCTTTGGGGACGTGGAAAGTGTCGACCTCGTGGGCCTCGGCCACAACGGGGTTCTGGGGCTTGACGTCGCCTTCAGACATGGTGCTGCGCTGCTGCAGAGTCTGGAGAGGAAGCAAAGCTCAGAGAGCGCGCAATTGACGAGGGAGGGGGGCGTGAGCTTTCAGAGCGCCAGCGGTCGGCGAGACGGGTCTCTGGGGCAGTTATACGACTCAATGCCGGGTAAAGGGCTCGGTGGGACGCTTGCTTGCCGCAGGGGCCCAAGTTGAAGCTGCTGGAGACAACTCGGAGAACAAGACTCTGTCGGAGGAGTGGAGCTTCGTCGCGTGATAGGGGTATCGTCTACCGCGGGCAGTGTACTAGAGGTACAGCAGAGCGAGGCAGTCGAATCACGCAGCAATAACCAGCCAGCTTGGATCCAAGGGCGAGCGGCTTCTTAAGCAGCTGCTCGTCGCAGGCCGATCGCAGCCCATCGCAGCGCACAGGACCCTCAGATTACCACTTTACCCCTCGTGGGCGAGAGCGCCTGCGGGGACATGGAATATGACGAACGGTTTTTGGCATTGTCTGGGCCCACAGCTCGTTGGTTGAACCGCCGACCACTACCAACGCGGATAGACCAGGCCTGCTCCGTTTCTCCGGATTACATGGTAGCCATAGCCGCGGCCGTGTGTCTGTGGCTACTGAGTACGCTCAACCTTGCCGTCTCGCGGATTATTCAATTGGAGTGCCATTGATACCGAGTGAAGCGGTTCATTATATGTGTAGGTGGTGTGAAGCGAGCTTGCTCGTTGTTGCTCAAATCTCCGTCTTTCGGCATGCATCTCGAAACGCGCAGCACAGGCGGGCGCGCACCAAGCCCCATGCAAAACCGTTCAGCTCATAATTGCAAACCGCATCGCTGCGTTTGGCCAGGGTCACGACGCTACACAGCCGGACCTGGGGAAGTCCATGGTGCCAGCTAACCCGAGGCCCCGGCCGCGGCAAAACAAGCTCCACAGAGCCGCAGCGCAGCGCGATGCGGCGAGGCCTGGGGAGACGAGGTCCTTGTTCAAGACGAGGCCCGTGGTGAGACGCGGCGCGTGACCACCCGCCATCGACCAGCCGCTGCCAGTATCATTTGATATTTGACACGATGGCCAAGGACATTTGACATGATGGCCAAGGACATTTGACACGAGGCTCCGGATTTGGACTTCATCGCGCTCAAGCCCAACCTAACCCTAACCATGAGCTTCCCAACCCACCCAAACCAACGCATTACATGTATAGTTACATACAGGGCTGAGGACTGCATGCGGCACCGCCCACACAGCCAGAACAATGGATATGAAATGCACCCGCGTGGGTAGATGCTCAACCACGCAGCACCGCGGGGGCAACACAACACAGGCGCACAGCACAGTGGTAAAGCAGGAGAGAACACCCCACCACAACCCCACCACAACCACCACCATCGCCGCCGCGGCAACGCCACAGCACCCACTCAGCAGCGCTGGGCTGACGTGCGTTGGATTAGACAGGGCGGTACCGCGCCACCGCACCAATGAGACAAGCTGGAGGCGCTTGTGCGCTACTTTCTCTAGCTTACTTCGTAGGGCCGCGGTGTCGCGGTAGGCAGTCGCGGATCTCATATCTCGCAATCTGCAATGACGAGCATGTCTAAGTGTACGGTGAAGGAAGAAGAATGAAGACTAAGATTATATATACACACTAAAGATGAAGATATGCGAGGATTCATCCTCGACGGTGACGGAGACGTCGAAAGCTAAACCGAATTTCTATCCAAAACGCCTTCGTTTCTGTCGTCGCACCGCCCTTCACCTCCCCAGGCCATGTACTATTTAGAAGACGATCGAGTCGTCGACGGGGTGAGGAGCTCGCCAGGCTCCTCACCCGCCGCGGTGGAATCCTTGCCCTGACCCAGCGGGCTCGGAGACCGTCTGTAATCCGCCGGAGACCGCAAGGGCGTCGACACCGCTGCTTCGGTGTCGTGGCGCGTGCGCAGCGCCACACTGGCCGCGATGCGTTCGTCGAGAATGCCCACAAGCCGCTCCGAGTACTGGTCCAGAAACTTGGTCACAGCGGTCTCGTCGAATTCAGTGCTCCTGGCTTTCTCGCTGATGGCTCGGGCGGTTGTCGCGAGCTCGCGTTGCACCTCTTTGACCAGCTCCATGTCCAATGTCTCGGTGCTGTTGGCGAGTCGTTTGCGATACGCTTTCAGCTGTCTGCAGAATCCCTCGCTTGCTGTCGTGAGGCTGCCGTACTCGCTTGCCGGGGCTTTCAGGTTGCCCCTTGATCTGACGTCTAGCGAAGCACGCCGTGTTGTGATACGCCCTTTTGGCGATGCTGGAGGCGAGGGCGACGTGTTGTTCTTGCGGCGAAGAAATGTGTGATTAGTTGTGCCGCCGTTTCTCCTCTCCCGTATACTGCTAGGCAACGGTGAGGGGTCGAGTCTTGGTGTTTGCGTCTTTTGCAGCGAGAACTTGGAAAGCTTCTTCTTCAATGTAGGCGACCTGTTCCCAGTGGGAGTTGCGCTGCCACTGTCTTCCGGTGAGCGCTGGAACTTGGCAAGCTCTGACTGTGACAACACGCGGCGTATTGGAGGTCTGCTAGCCAACAGACTTGGTGTTGACTGCGACGATGTTTCCAGTATGTCCATGGACCTGGACATCTCCTGCCGGCATGGTGACTGCAAAGCCAGACCCCAGACGAAGATGGTCCCGTCCACAGCGACCGTGACGAGAGACTTCTCACGCGAATCCTCGTCCTCCGACTTCAATGGCTGAACAAATGCAATGTCGGTGACTCCCTCAGTGTGGCCCCAGTCCCGAGCGAGGAGCGTACCGCTCTCGTCGTAGATACGTATCGATTTGTCAGTGCTTGACACTCCTGCGATGAGCGGAGAGCCCCACTCGCGTGATACATGAGCCAAAGAGTGCATGACGACAGCATCGCCGCCATCGTTGTCTGACGCTTTGAAGTTACTGAGGTATTGCCCGCTCTGTAGGTCGTACTTGTGCACCTGACGGTCAATGGTCGATGCAATCAACACATCATCCTGGTCGACATCCCATGCCATGGAAACTGGAGTCGACTTGAAAGCTATGCAGCGAAGGAAGTTGAAGACGCGGATAGTTTCGCCGTCTTCCTCCCGAGTTAGCATTTCGCGGACAACAATGCTGCGATCGCTCGACGAGGAGACAAGGCGTGTCCCATTCCGCGAGAACTGTACACCAGAGACCGCTCCAGCATGCTCGTCCAGTGTCTGTAGCAACGTCCATTTGCCCTTCTCTCGACTGAATATCTGCACGGTGCGATCTCTGCTTGCAGAGGCGATAAGAGTAGAGCTCTCGTCTTCAAAGATTGCAATGCTAGTGATCTCGTTCGAATGCGCTCTTGACTCGAAGATCACAGCCTCATATCTACAGTCGAGAACTCTCAAAACACCCAGCTTGTCTCCAGTGACAAGAAAGCTGGCACCAGACGAGGCGCGTACCGTACGGAGCTCATTCGGCAAGTCTGTCTCCGGTGATGGTTCAAGTGCAACCTGGAGGGATCTTTGGGTACTACCAGCCTGACTCCAGAAGATGACGCCGCCATCAGCAGCCCAGGTGTAGTACGAGGCATCGAGGTTGTTTGGCTGGGACAGGACTCCAACGCCCAGCACAGAGTCACCTTGGGCAGGCAGGGTATGGATGACGTCGCCAATATTTGTCTCGTCGTTTGGGCTTGAAGCGGAGCCGGGGTCTTGGAGGCTTGCGCACAGATGGGACAGCCGAATTGCACGTTGCGAGTCTACGGTTACAATGTGGTCGTCCAGACATGCGATTGCGGTGATCTGGTTATGGCAATCTGTGATGGAGACGGTGGGCGACTCGCCTCGAGAGCTTTGAGTGGATGGTGACGGCGGCGGAGTCATTTTACTGGTGAGACTGGCCACAGTGAACGTCTTCCACCCTCCCTGATTGCCTGCAAGATGAAGTCTCCCCTTGCCGTCAACTGCCATTGAGCTGACTGAAAATCCCGCATGTGCTACGCGAAAAAAGCTTTGCTCTCGGTCGGTCTCGTCAATGAGACAGAGGTCGCCGCGGTCAGACGCCACTATAGCCTTGTTAGGTGCTACCTGGCACACGCTCGTGAATATCGCGTCCTGGAGATCTCCTAGCAGACAGTTTCTGCCAGACAGCGGCTTGTTGGTGCTGCCAACGAACATGTCGCTCGGACGTGGTTTTAAGGGGGCCCGTTGGACCGGGCTGCGCTCTTCAAGAGACCACACCTTGACGTGTCTCGTGCCCACGGTGATGAGCTTGTTGCCCATCCAGGTCATCCGGTTGATGCTGCTGACACATTTGTTGCTGGAGTGCAGGGTCGCGGCTCCGGTGCGAGGGTGGACGCTCCACACGTAAAGGAAGCCGTCCTGGGCGGTTCCGATGCTCGCAAGATATCGCGAGTCGGGACTGAAGGCGACACAGTTGACGCCATACTGGTGCTCGATCAGAGAAGTCAAGGGCGTGTCTGACGGGGCATCCGACGCGTTGGAGAAGATGAGCACGCGAGGTTTGTACCCTGTCTGTGCCGGATGTTAGCCCATGCAGTGCGACCAGGGGCAGCATGACGTTGACGCACCTCACCGACCGCCAGAAACCTTCCGTCTGGACTGAAGCTCACACACGTCGCGGCTTTGATCTTCTCGCGTGCCGTCCATGCTCTGTTGTTTGGCGAGTCGCTCCAGTCGTTCAGTGCTGGCGACGCAAGAGGCGATGCGCCGAGACTGACATCGCGCAGTGACGCAGCCGCCCTATTGCGGCTTTCATTCTGCGTGGGTGTCGAGGGGCCGCCGTATATGGACGAGGACGAGTTGACGGGGTTCGTGGTGGGTCGAGCGCGGTAGAAGCGCTGTGAGATGGTGTGCTGGTCGTCGACGGTGGCCACGACAGCGGCGGTACCGGCCGTGTAGGCAAAGCAGCGCGCCGAGGGGAGGCTGTCGAAGGCATTGGCCGTGCGGGCTGTAGTCCCTATCACGGTGCGCAGAGTCAGGGTCGCCTCGGCGCGGGCCGTCTTGATAGGAGAGCGGAGGTTGGCTCTGGCAGTCATGAAGGGCGACGGCGTGGGTGCGAGTTTGACGCCGGCTCCCAGGGTGGCATCCCTCATTCGAGCGTTGGACGGAGTAAGCGACATCGCTTCCTCCAGGTCAATCGAGGAGAAGGAGAGCGACGGCTGCTAACAGACATCCTAGACACTCGTCATGGCACGATCCGGGGTCTGCTGGCGGGGGACGATGCTGGTCGAATTGCGGCTTGCGGCGCAGACTGACTGCAGACTGACTGCAGACTGACTGCAAGACTGGACTGGTAATGGGCGCCCGGTTGAGCTGCCGCCGAGGGGTGAGAGAGTGAAAAGTCGCGCCTGCCACAACTCTAGGGCTCCACGCGCGGCGCAAGGGCTGGCCGTGAGAGCCGCTACAGTTTCTGGGGATCATCGAGACGGTGCCTTTTCAGCCTCAGGTACCGTCCAGTAAGGAGGGCTCGGTAAGCCTTAGCACATCGCTCGCGCTCTAAGCCTTGCAGCTTGACCCGTTGGGGCATCGTGAGATTGCGTCCTCGAGCGTCATTGACTCGCGGTGCATCATCTCCCAAGGAGACATTCCGGCGTGCAAGGTCGCGGGGACATGAAGATGGGTATGCTCAGTTGCTCAACGACTGGCACGGGTATCGATCAGAGTGGGGGATATGCAAGACCATACGCCAGTAGGCGTAAATATTATTGTTAGTCATCTCCGTCTTCTGCAGACTCCCACTCCCTTGGCTTGCGGCGTTACTGCACTGTCATTCGCGCATTAGCCGCGATAGGCGCGCTGTTTGCCGCCGGGGACCCTGCAACGTCAGAAAAGTCAAGCAGACGTGACAAGACGACGCGCCGCGCCGCTCGCTTACCAAGCCTCTCCCCTGCCATCGCCTCTGTACATACTACGCAGCAGGCGCAGTTCCCTTGTCCACCAAGGGATCGCCCCCGACGCCCGGATGTATGTGATACGGTCTGCACTGCGAGCATCGACAGGACGAGCTCCCGCACGATTGATCCGCGGCCGCCGCTACCCATTGATACCACGCATCCGCTCGCTGCACACCACGCGTGCACTCGCGTCTGCGTCGACACCGCCCCCAGCGCCAGACAGCACACCAATCGGCGACAATGGCGCCGACAAGGCCGACCGCGAGAGGGCGGCAGCAGGCGAGCAGGCTGAAGCCGAGATAGCCAACGAGGACCCGGAACTCTTGGCGCAGAAGGTCCAGCGATCACGCGAAACAACGAGACGATACCTGGCTGCCCAGCGCCGCCAGCAGAGGGGGAGGAAGACGCAGGGCCTGCCGCCGGTGAACGTTCCGGACTGGTTTCTGAAGAGACGCGTACTGCGCCGCGAAGACGTCCCGCAGGAGCTGCAGGACAAGATTGCGCCCAAAGCGCTTTCGGTTTCCATTACACACACAGAAGCAGGAGAGAGCGCGACATGCTCGATACCGGCTTCCAAGGACCTGGACGCCGTGAAGGTGCTGGCACGTCTGGTGCGTGGGCTGTGGGGGCGGCGTCTGGACGACCAGGAGAAGCTCAAGATCGAGCGCTATCTGGAGGATCGACTCGCTGCTGAGCCCGAGGCAAGCGCCGAGACCGACTCGTCAGCACCCATCGATGACAAAGCACGCTCCATGGGCGAAGAGGAGCTGCGCACGAGGCTGGAGCTGCGCGAACAGCTCTTCAATGCTACACAGGAGATGAAGTCAGACCCCAGCAAGCCGCTCGCTGAGCGAGTGGATGAGATGAACAGCAGAGCACAGCGCTACATGCTCAAGCGGGAGAACGCAAAGTCGAGATCGTCACGAGGTTCGAAGCGCCTATCTCCTGTTGTACTGGCCGAAGTCCGCGCGAGCATCGCGGCAGCACTGTCTTCGTTGCGCCCGTCAATCAGCAACACATTCCCCGCCACCAAGACGAACATCGTCCTTCACTCACCTGTACCTGGTCACGAGCTTCTGATAGACCGCGCCGTGGAGGCCATCGCGTTGGAGATGGACTCTGAACTGGTTGTCCTGCGGGCCAACGATCTCGCACAGCTGGCAGGAGACTACCTCGGCGAAGGAGCAGAGCCGTCACCACGGTCGATACGATCTTTGGGATACGAGACCTACCGACTAAGCTCTGAACTAGCCAACGCATTCGAGGATATGGAGAAAGACGATGCGGCAGAGGAGGACGTGGAGTCTGCCCAACCGTCACCGACGGACCCCTCGGAGAAGCCCAAGATGGGCGCGTTCCCACTCATCTTGCCACTCTCTGCGCTTGCATCCATCAAAGAGCTCTCCAACAAGTTCAGAGCCGGGCAGCCACTGTCATCAAGCCCCTTCGAGACCTCGGCGAATGCACTTTCTGACGAGCCAAGCCGCGCACAGAGCCAAAGTGAAATACAGCTCGAAGACCTGAAGCTCGCAACCCTCCTTGAGGCTTTGATTGATGCCAGTGAGCTGAAGCAGAGTCGCAATATCATTGGCAACGAAGGTTTCGAGCTGCGGACAGCGCTCAAGGAAGGTTCAAAAACGCCGAGAGGAAGCGATCCCAACTTTTTCGACTATTCCGTCAGCTCTGACGGGATACCGCTGGAGCTCAATTCGGCTCTGCCAGCAGCTGCAAGACCTGGCATGAACATGACTGTCAATGTTGGCTCTGTTGCAGCGCTGACACGTATACCAAAGAAGTCAAAGATTGTCCACGTCCGAGACTTCAAGGAGCTCAACGCCACACACTACGGCGGTCGCATCATACAGAAGCTTGAAGAAATCGTCCGCAAAAGACGAAGTGCTGGCGAGAGCGTCATGATCATTGGCAGCACTTGCTCCCTTGAGCTCACGCCGGACCTCTCCGCTGGTGGTGTCCAGGGCCTGCAATCGGAAGGCGAGAGCAGCTACTTCAGGACCATCGTGGTGGCAGCGGACTCGGACAAAACATCTTTGCTGGATGAGTCCAGTGCCATGTCCAAGGGCGAAGTTGGGTCAGCCATTCTGTCGCCAGCGGAACGAGGCAAGTTCTGCGGCATCAACATGCTCCACACTCAAGACATGCTACGCTCGTTGGACCCCGTGGCAGCTGCACGCATTTCCGACATGGAGTTGACCATCCAGCACCATCGAAACTTCGCCGCCATCATACCGGAGGCTTACCTCAACAGGGTCCTGACTTATGATGAGGTACACCGCATAGCATTAACAGCGCTCGGGCTGCATGTCACCAACCCTACCGGCACAACTCAGACCGACGCAGAGCAAGGCCAATTGAATTGGGCACATGTTGCGCTCGCAATGGGGCTGCTGAAAACCAGCGATACAGTCAAATACCTCTCCTTCGACAAGACTCTCCAAAAGCAGCAACCTCGACACGATCTCGGTCCAGAGGCTGAAGCTCACGTCAGGGCAAAGAAGAGACACAGCGAAGCCGACATGCAACGCCAGCGCGATCTCCAGCGTATCACTGCCAGTGCGACAAAGCACGAGAAGCGTCTGATCTCCGGCATCGCGAACCCCGACCAGATCAAGACTACGTTCGATCAAGTACACGTACCAAAAGAGACTGTGGATTCGATTCGTACGATAACCTCCCTCTCGCTTCTCCGACCAGACGCATTCGATTATGGTATCCTCGCCACTGAGAAGATCTCTGGCGCGCTCCTGTACGGCCCTCCCGGCACAGGCAAGACACTGCTCGCCAAGGCGGTTGCAAAAGAGTCTGGCAGCACTGTGCTCGAGGTCTCCGGCTCTCAGATCATGGACAAGTACGTTGGCGAGGGCGAGAAGAACGTCGCTGCCATCTTCTCGTTGGCACGGAAGCTCTCTCCGTGTATCGTGTTCTTGGACGAAGCCGATGCAGTCTTCGCAAGCCGCGATGCTATGCGCGAGCGCACAAGTCACCGCGACATCCTCAACCAATTCTTGAAGGAGTGGGACGGCCTGAACGACCTCAGCGTTTTCGTCATGGTCGCGACAAACCGGCCGTTCGACCTCGACGACGCCGTCGTTCGCCGGCTTCCACGTCGCCTCCTAGTCGACCTCCCCACGCAAGTAGACCGCAAGGAGATCCTGCGCATCCACCTAAAGGGCGAGCAACTCGACCCGGCCATCGACCTCGACGACCTCGCAAAACGCACACCCTTCTACAGCGGCAGCGATCTGAAAAACGTCGCCGTATCCGCAGCCCTGGCATGCGTCAAGGAAGAAAACGACATCGCCGCAAAAGCAGCAGCAGACGGCACCCCCACAGCGCCCGAGACAATAGCTAGGGCCGAGACGGACTCAGCATCCGCACCCGCATTCCCGCACCACGCCGACGGCCCACCTGCACCTCCACCTCCCCCGTCCTTCCCCTCGCCGCCTTCGACCTCAGACCCTGTCGCGTCGACGGCAGCATCGCCAACACCGCACCTCGTGCGCGGCATCAACTACAAATTCCCCACGATCCGCACCCTGATGCAACGCCATTTCGACGCCGCGCTGCAGGACATCAGCGCGTCTATATCCGAGGACATGAGCAGCTTATCCGCGATCAAGAAGTTCGACGAGCAGTTTGGAGATAAGAAGGGAAGGAAGGGGAAGAAGGGGTTTGGGTTTGGGGAGAATATGGGGAAACGGGATGAGAATGCTGCGCGGGTTAGAGGATGAGGGGAACCATGATAGCTGTGAGGGATAGGGTGGGCATTGGCTTTTTTTGCATGATGGGGTGTGTAGGTAGTAGTGTAATATACTGCGCGGCGCTGATTCACTCTCTTTCCGCACATGGCGAGGTCCGCTCCCTACATCCCAATCGTCTCCAGCGAGCATGCCCTAACGTCCCCCCCCCCCTGCATGGCGAGAAACCCTGCGTGGCGAAAAGCCGCACATGGTATCCATCACAACAACGCCAAAATCGGCCCATAGACCTGACGAGTCTCGGCATATAGACTTCTGAAAATACACTAAAGTTGGACTTTGCTTCTCGTACATGCAACTCCTGGTTCGCCTGCAATACCAGCTCTTGCCGCAGGTGCACCAAGTTGCGTTACTCTGGCCAGTCTTGGACCTGGCGTGAGTCTTGAGCGACCTGTCTGAGAACTTGTCAAGCTATACCGGTAGAGAGAAAGCTTAAGAATGTATGCGGAGCGAGACAGAGGTGCGTAAGCTCAATGTGCCCTGGTGTTGACCTGGTGCCGTTAAGCAAGGACAGACAAGCCAGCGCCCCGCTTTCTGACAGTATGAAAAGAATCAGAAGCAGGATAACTTTAGCTGTGAAGTATAGTTATGAAGAGCGCACGTTGCACACAGCGGCGCGGACCGGGCCGCCAGACCACCCATGACTCGCTCGCATTCACATGTACTCCTGCATCTCAGTTAGTACCAATAGACGCGCGAGTGTTTCTGAAAATACATGCTGCTAAGTAAGATAGGAAAGCAACTTGCAATGACGTGCTGCTTTGCGCTGCATAGCTGAGTGCATCGACATGCTATTCTTCTACCCCTTCTTATGTTTGGAGCTCGTGATCCTGAGCTTTGCCAGCCCGCGTGACAACATTGAGGTCTTGCCGCTGTTCATGGTTGCGTCGTTCTCGGCTTTGGCTATGTACAAGAAGGACTAAACGGCTCTGGCCTTGCAAAGCAAGCGCAGCGGAACGATGCTGGCAACATGCACAAGTGCTTGATAATCCTCTAAGGCTGACCTGCTTTGCAAGCAAGTGAGTCAGACAGTATACGCTCGTCAGCGTGGATACTCGTGCCCCAGCACATTTACTCTTGTCGCTGATCGTACTGTGAGCACTGATCTAACTGATCACTGATCGCACTGAGCACTGATCGCACTGAGCACTGATCAAAGTAAACATGCCAAGAACTGATCACACCACGTGATCATGCGACCCGTTTTCAGTGCTTACTTGTCGAGTTGGCTTGCTTGTATTTAATTAAAGTTGTCATTCCTGCTGTGTCGTGCTGTGATTGGTTTGAATACTTCTCGTGTTCCTGGGATCGTAACACATGACAAGAGCAAGTGCTAAGCTACAACTCATGTTGACCCGCCTTTTCCAAATGAAAACCCCGACATTGTACCAGAATTGTGACCAAGCTGAAGGCCATTGTTATTGTTGCCTGAAAAGACAGTGTGGTGAGACCTGTCGGCCCCCTCTGTCGCCTTTGTGATTGCGTGCTCCAACAGTGTGTCTTGAGCGGCGGCAATCTCTTTCAATACAGACATGCCTTCGCCTTCTCCAATAGCTGATACTTCCCTATCACACAGCTCGCGCTGAGACTGCTGCGTTGCTGGGAAGAGCTGGACCAAGCTGTCAATGAGCTCAGTGATGTCCTTGATCAGTTGTCGAAAATGCTTTTCTTGGTACAATGCCCACTTTGCCTTCTGACGTACGCTGGACCGGTTCTGGCGCTCGATAGCCAGCTGTCGCATCTTCTCGTGAAGCTTTGCCCTTGCCGGATCTAGGTTGGTCTGGGGATCGTATACCGCAAGGCTGTCGTCCTGTGGCTGCGTCCGACTCTTGTATCTGTCCGACACGTGCTGAGCTTCTGCGAACAGCTCGACAATCTGGTGAAGCAGGGCTTCAGCGTCTTTAACGTTTGTTTCTGATCCGAAACACCCCTGAAGCGATACTGTATCCCGGACATCGTCATCAAGACTCAGAGACTTGCCCCACCTCGACAGGCGGAGTCTTGCACTGTCGAGTTGGAGCTGGCTTGTTTGGAAGCTCTTTCTGAATGTGCGTCCGAGCTGGAGGAGCTCGAAGCACTCCACTGTGTTGTTGAACAGGCTAGCAAGGGCGACAACACCAACAACAAGGCCAGCCGTCTCTGCCATGTTGGGTCGCTGGATTAGTGGCAACGATGGGAACGAAGACGTGAAATGAAGATGAGATAGGAGCAAGAGATACGAGGAAGAGATACGAGGAAGAGATACGAGGAAGAGATCTCGGGGAATGCGTACTTGTACCTTGCTCCAGGCCTGAGCTGTGCAAGTGATAGCCGCGGGGCGATGGCCTGCAGCTCTCTTGTATGCGCAGGCAATAATGGCTGCGGGTGGAAGCCAGAGTGTGTCAGCAGTCAGCAGCTGTGGCGTCCAGCCTGATGCGCAAAAGCAGCTGCTGTCTGATCCTGCACAAGGCTCTCAACGCTGCACAGTCCAGTCACTGCTATGCGCAATGGCTCCCCTCGGCATCACTACGACCACCACGTTCGCAGGCGATAGAAACCAGGGAGCGCAGATTGGTAACAACTTTGGCTCTATCGAGAGCCACTTCCATGTTCCTGCCGGCAAGTGCCCGTCCCCGCTCCGACCCACGCTGTGCTGACCACGCGGTGTCTCTGCAGAGCGCCCTGAGACCCCACCGCAGCCCTCCTGCTCCGTGCCGTTCCGGCGCGACACAGACTTTGTCGACCGTGCAACGCTGCTTGATCAGATTTGCGAGCGATGCTCTGCGCCAGCGTCGCGTGTTGCGCTAGTGGGTCTTGGCGGAGTAGGGTAAGCTTAGCCGGGGGAACCTCCAGACAGCGCTCACGACTAACGCACACACAGCAAGTCGCAGCTGGCCATCGAGCACTGCTACCGCACCACCAAGCGCTCACCGCAGACGTGGGTGCTGTGGGCGCACGCCAGCAACACAGCGCGGCTGGAGCAGAGCTTCCGCGAGATAGCAGAGCTGGTCAAGATCCGCGGGCGCAAGGACCCACAGGCGGACGTGTTCAAGCTGGTGCACGACTGGCTGCGCGATAAGAAGAACGGGCGGTGGCTGCTGGTGCTTGACAACGCGGACGATGCTGCTATTCTTTCTGCGCGAACAGGCGACAGCCAGAAGTCGCAAGCAGACGATGGCGGCAGCGCCGACAGCAGCGGAGCAGCTCTTCAGCACCAGCTGTCGAGGTATCTGCCTCCGAGCGAGCACGGCAGCGTGCTGGTGACAAGCAGGACAAGGCAAGCGGCGATGCAGGTTGTTGAAGACAGTGACATCATACTGATTAAGCCGATGGACAACGCAGCTGCACACGCTCTGCTTCACAAGAAGCTAGGAGACGAGGGCAGGAAGAGCGACAGCAACAACGACACTGCTGAGCTAGCGGCGGCACTGGACCACATGCCGCTCGCTCTTGTGCAGGCAGCGACATACATTCGACGGCGAGCGCCGCGATGCTCGGTGCAGCAGTACCTGGAGGAGTATCGGCAGAGCGACACCAGAGCAACGAGCCTGCTGAACCAGGAGGCTGGCCATCTGCGCCGCGATGAGGAAGCCAGCAACGCCATCCTCATAACGTGGCAGATCTCGTTCGACCACGTGCGACGCAGCAGACCATCAGCGGCAGACCTGCTGTCGCTGATGAGCTTCTTTGACCGGCAGGGGATACCTGAAGCCTTGCTGCACAGTAGGGATAGCACAGCGAACAACGATGGCTTTGAAGATGACCTTGAGACACTGCGGGACTACTCCTTTGTCACAGTCACAAGGGATGCAAACACGTTTGAGATGCACAGCCTGGTGCAGCTAGCAACGCGCAAGTGGCTCGAAAGCCAGCGCCAGCTCGACAAGTGGAGAGAGCAGTTCATCTCCAACCTGTGCGCAGAGCTGCCTACAGGAGAACACGAGAACTGGGAGACGTGCCAAGCGCTGTTCCCGCACACGAAGGCAGCAGCAGCACAGCGGCCTGCGAGCCAGAAGTCGCTCGAGGAGTGGGCGCTGCTTCTGTACAAAGCAGCATGGTACGCCTGGCAAATGGGCAGAGCAGGTGAGGCAGAGCAGATGTCGGTGATGTCGATGGAGGTGAGAAGAGAGGTGTTTGGCGAAGAGAGTAAGGACATGTTGAGCAGCATGGGCATAGTAGGGCTGGCCATGCGGATTGCGGGCAAGTACGAGGAGGCGGAAGCGATGCACAGGCAGACGCTGGCGACAAG